AATCAAGTCCACGTGTCTTAAACAAAAGCCCCAAAGCCAAGTCACTGGGTCAGAACAGTTCCTTCTAGGTTTATATCTAGGATAAATTAGAATAACTGCAGGATGACCTTATAATAGCTGTCAAAACAAAAATAAATTTCTCTTAAAGGCAGCTCTGCCCTATTACTGAGGCATTTTTATATGTAAACGAGAAGTAAAACAGATTGGCTACTGGTCATAAATTTAGCTAGGTGAGTCATAAAGACAGCTGGAATAGTACATTATGAAAGGAATATATAAAGAGTGTCTATCATCCAAGTGCTGGCTCTCCTCCTTTTTAAGCATCCCCCCAAGGCAATAAATTTGGGTAATATGATTCTTTTTACAACAGAGTCACTAATTGCTAATATCCCAAAAGTTTTCAGGATAAATTTCTTCAAGTTACAAAGATATTCAAAATTCAGTGTTCTTTGGCAAACAGAAAACAGAGATTCCTATCTTTTCAACCCCAGGCTTAGGTTAGCTCAAAAACATTACTCAATCTTCAAAGAGTTAGTATGTCCATTTTCATTCATACGAGTTTACAGAGGTTTGAGATTAATACTAATTCCTTTTTTTTCCCCAAAGATTTGTTTTTATTTACTATGCATACAAGAACTGGGGTATAAGCCAGGGATCGAACTCTTGCCCCAGTGGCTGGTGATAGCTTGATAGCACTGAGACTTTAACCCCTGCACCACCAAGGAGGCCCAGACTAATACTAATTCTTTAAAACTACAGGCAACTCTAGATGAGAAGTCGCTACTAACTTCAACTTGTTCTGTAGTCCTAGGAACTGCCATTGAAATTCTATGGCCTCATGAAAGTTTGATTGACAGAGTGAGAATAAACCACATAAACAGAAAACTGGCATACAAAAGAAATCCCTGATACAACAGCAATAATTCAAATATCACAAGCCCAAATCCTCTGGGATGTGATCTCCTTTATAGTGAAGTTTCAATTTAACAAATATATATTAAGGGATGTGCAAAAAATGAAGGGAAACAAGGTGCTGGGCAAACAGTTGAAGAAGCTTTGGGAAGTCTGCACTCTCCCCATGAGAGACTTAGGCCACTGATACAATAGAGTAAGAAACTGATAGCAAGAGTGTATACCCTCATGGATAAATATGAAAAACATTTCAACGTGACATGAACAGCAATTCAAAAAAGCAAATTGTCAACAGATCACAGCACTGTTTATCTGTCAGATAAGTGTATTAAAGGGCTAATAATATCCATTGTTGGTTGGAGGTCTGAAAAGATGGTTTAAAACCCTTTAAAACTGCATCTTCTTACCTAGAAATAACACTAGTTTTTGGTGAATAGACCAGTTTCACTAACCAAAAAATATACATATAAGAAATAAATTCAATTTTAGGAAAAAGGTAACTTTGGTTTGATAGGATGAATTTCAAATTCCTACAAGATATACAGGAAACATGTTTTGCAGGCAAGTGGATAGATAGCAACTAGCATTTACACGGGGTGTAGACTAGTCTTAGAAACATCATTTCGTCTAATCCTTCCAAAACTCAGAGAAAAGAACTGAGTGGCGGCGGCAGCAGGTTTCATACGCAGCTCTTACCCAAAAGCTCATAATACACTTTTCAGCTTCCATGGTTTTGGTACCTGGCAGAAAGATCCAAGACAGAAATACAGATTTGCAAGTTTTTCTTTCATCATGCATTTTTTTTTAGCAGAATGCATTAAAGTACCTTAATGTTGGACCTAAGGATACCAAGAAAATGAGGTTACATTTCCTATCGTTAGGGAGCAATAACAAAGATAGACATGAAAACAAAAAACTGCAACATGGTTTGACAACACTGATAAATTTAGGAGGAATAATACCAACCCCAAAGGAGAAGAGAGTGGCCAATTCTGCATTGGAGAAAGAGTCATCGAGGAAGGTTCTAAGAAAGGAAGACAAAGCTTGGCCATGATTCTGAAAGATGAGTTTAGAAAAACATTTCCTCCGTGGACAGGGGAAGCAGGAAAGGAGGGCTACTCCACAAAAAGGGAGGGGCAGAATCTTCAAGGCCTTAAACAGTCAGTTGACAGAAATTGCACGTACGTCAGCACACTGATACGCAGACAGCACCCTCCAATCTCTACCCCTCTGCAGCAAAAGGTGCTGAATAGAGCCAAAGGAGATAGTTTTCTGCTCTCAACTGAGTCTCAACTCCCAAAGAAAAGATCTACTTCTCCAAATTCCCTTTCAAATGGAGAGTTAGACAGGGATCAAGGGCCACTCCAGCCTTGTGTTTTATGGTGAAATTACATTGCCTATTTATTCCTTCGTCTACTTATTCCTACCCAAAATGACACTGTATTTACTCCTTCATGGCCTGTCTTGCTCATTATACAATTCAGGAGGGCGGGGGCCTTGTCCGGGTCTTGAACAGTGCATGGCACAAGGAAGGCACTCCACAAATATTTGCTGAACATCAGTTTATCTTCCCCAATATGTATTAGTTTAAAAATTAAAACAAATTGAGATCTCAATTTTATAAGATACTTACTTTTTAAGTATTTAATTATTTCATGATGCAAAAAATTTTGCATCATGCTCTAAATAGCATCCTGAAGCCCTCCAATTTCTTTCTACTGCAGCAAAGGTTAAACAAAACATGTATCCAAAATAAATACCTAAAGCATTTACCTCTACTTGATTCCCACTCAGGCATTTCATTATTCTCTCTATGGACCAAAGAACACAAGCCAGGAACTATGGCTAAAGTGTTATACCAACTACAAATCAATGTTGTGTCAATGGAACATACTTAAGAAAAAATGGAAGGACAATATTTCATGCTTAAGGAGAAAGTGTAAGTCATCTTAATAAAAGCAAAATACCTAAAATGGGGGGGAAGTGATTATTTTAGTTATTACTTTTTGCTCTACTTATTAGGAAAACAGGTAACAAAGGCTATCATTAAGAAGGTCACGAAATTTTAGAGGTTATTATCACTAATGACAACTAACCTAGATCAGATTGTGCCAAAACTGCATGTTATATAAAATGTCTGAGACAGTACTATCTTAAGAACTACCTCAAGAAGGTAACATCTCTTGGAATCTGCTTATCCCAATGGCTACCTCATTTTAGGGCTCCTTTGAATCAGCGACCATTATTGTCAGAATCATAGGTCTGAGGCTGTCTGTCACAAATGAAATGGTCTTTCTCGAACACATTAGGCTTAGAGGGAATTAGAATACAAGCTTAAGGATGCCATTACCACCTGGATGAAAACGCTTTAACACTAAGTAACTTCACAAATGCAGCTACTGTGCAGAATTTACTGTTAGTATGACTCCACCTTAATCCTAACAAAGGTTAATTCCTAAATGCTGCCTTGCCAAGTCAATTTCTCAATATAAATGCCATGTAAAATTACAAAATGAATCTGCTCTGACCCTTCTTATATGGGAGTTACAAAAAGAAGCCGTTAAACCCCACTAGGAATAAATTTATTTTCTTCGGTCAAGTGTTAACACCAGTAAGTGGTGGATTTGCATGTAATCCCTAGTGTAGATAGGCAGAAATTACCAACCAACAATGACTCTTTAACTACATATTGCATATAACCATAATTATGTAACTGAACACCTTAAAGGGTACAATGTTTTCAATATGAGATGTGAAATATTATCACTGATATTTTAAAGAAACCCTTACAGGATTGTACATTCAAGCAAATGTTTGAAAATTTATTTTACTTGTTTTCAGACAAATGGTAGTCACTAAAAGTGACTAAAGACCTATTTTTCTCAAAAATACATCACACCACATATCTTGAGAACTTTTTCAAAGTCTCAAAGCTACATCCTTTTTCAGTACAATGGACATCACATTAAGACAATATCCATTCATTCATGAGCAAAACCCAGTACAATGAGCGAGCAAATGGTAAAAGTCTCGCGTGCACTAACTGCTCATTGGTGGCCCAGCAAGACAGAACTGCACCCTCTTTTCCTGGATTCCATCAGGGTCTGGTTAATAAGATCCACTTCTTTGAAAAGTATTCATCAGAATTCTTTATAGTCTTAAGAATTGAGAACTTAATCAAAGACAGAATTTATATTACTGTAAACCATAATGGCCACCTTCTGGTGATGTGCATACTATCAGGTCATCAATATTGAGGATTAAAAAGATATATCCCCTTTAGCAAAATGGATCCCTTTTTCAAACCATTAAACAGTAAAATACAAAAACATTTCTTCACATACAAACTAAATGAAGGTATCCACTGATCCCCTCCTCAAAAGTGAAGTGATAATAAGATTAGTAAGGAAAAGTATCTCATATAATTAACTGCAAATTTTATAATGAAGTTAAATCACATGAAATTAATAGGACCATTTAAGAAAAATGAAAAAGCAAAAAGACAAAAAATTTTATAGAGTCAAAGATTCAAATATTCTAAATTTATTTTCATCAGTAATAGTCTAGTCTGCCAAATACTAAGCCAGATGGTGGATATTACACATCTGCTTCCATCACGATCATATTCCTCACAGAGGAACCAGTTTACAAAGTATAGTTTACAAATCAATCTATACTTTTAGGCTTAGCGCAGCTCAGTTACAGATAAATGCACACCCTTTCATTTTTCATTATACAACTCATAAGAGTTGCAATCAAACATGAGCAACCACTTAACATTTTGATCTATTAAAATGGCCACTTATATTTTTTAAGACCTCCTCTTCCTTTATTCCCCCCTTCTTCCATCCACTTAACTTTCCTCTTAAACATTTCAGTATTGAACTATCTGGATTATCTTCATACCCTCACCAAGAAAGACCTTTGAAGCTGACAACCACAGAGGCATCCCAGAAAAGAATCCCTTTAGTGCTGATGAGATGCACACCACACCTGCCCACACCTACCCATTCCAGCCCTTCCCCACCCATTCAGCCCATCCATGCAGACTGGGGTCCCCCTGGGGGCTCCTGCAAATCATCACTTACTGTGCCAGGCATATGACTTCGTTCACTCTTGCCATTCTGAGAACTGCCATTCTTGAGTTTCTTTTTCTTTTTGGCTGTTTCCTTGTGCTCTTTCTGTTTGTTCTGCACTTCAATGAGAACAGAAATAAAGCTGTTTTTCACTTCCTTTTCAAACTCCAGTTCATCTCGCAGGGCCAGTTGCTGCACCAGCTCTTCAGAGTATTCCTTAATGGCGGTCTCAATTTCTTCCAGCAGTTCATTCAGTTCAGATACTGAGAGTCTCTTCACTCCTATGACCAAAAGTAAAGCACAGCAGATACTAAGACAAAAACCTGCAAAGGGTACACAGCAGGGTGTTTTGTGCTAAAGAGCAAAAATCATTCTACGGAATTACATTGTTGATGATCTCAGAATACCGAGAAGGTCTAGCTGGAGAGAGGTGGGAGGGCAAAGTTACTTCTCTGAGAAGTATAGTAGTGTTTTGTACTTGTCTCAGACATTCATCCCATGCATAGCACTTTAGCCAAAACTGAAAAAAAACTTTTACAAAGAAAAGAACAAACATACGGGCAGGGAAGAGTAGCGTACAAACTACCTGCTGACACAGAATGGGGCGAGCAACTCAACAGCTTCTGGCAGACTTGGAAAGAGAGAGCTTAATTTGAAGGAATTCAACTTCAAAATAATTGAAATTTGTTGAAAACTGGGAAGACGAATACCTTGCCCCATTTCAGTTTTACTTGCCATTCTCCCCTGTGACAAATAGGACATCATTGAAGTCCCAAGTCCAACAGCTCAGGATATGACCCCATTTGAAGACAGGCTCTTTAAAAAGATAATTAAATTAAAAAGGAGGGCACTAACTGGACGTGACTGAGGCCATTATGAGAACGCAGATATACAAAAAGGAATATCCACGTGAGGACAGAGACACGACAGCCACGTGTAAGCCAAGGAGAAAGGCCTCAGAAGAAACCAGCCAGGCTACATACCTTGATCTCAATCGTCTAGCCCACAGAACTCTGAGGAAATAAATGCCAAGTGTATAACCCACCAAGCCTTTTACAAAGGTTACAAAGCCCACCCAGCCTGTGGTACTTTGTTACAGCAGCTCAGGCTGACTAACACAGCATATAAAGGTGAGTCTGACAAATAGGCCCCAAGTACTAAGGAGGGTCTGAGGAGGGGCCACATCAAGTCTGTGAGAAACAAAGGTTTCTGGAGATGGTCACACTGTATGGATGAAACATACAAAAAGCATTAAAAAAAAAGTGATTTAAGTAGCATTTCTTACTCTCTTCATAACTGCTTGTACTAGATCTCTTAAGAGTTTGAATTTCCTGGGAAAGCATTGAAAGCCGATCTGACTGTGTGGGGGTTTCATCATCTTCTGGGTCTGGGGATTCTTGCATCATTTCTTCGATTTCTTCAATAACCTTCCAAAATATACATATCAGTGTTAATCAAGTATGCACAGGAAAAATGAACTCTGTAACACAGTGCTCAGCTAAAGCAGTCAAGGTACAAGGGCACCAAATTCTCCCTTAATCAGTAAGGTGCAAGCAAGCATGGATGTTCTCAATGACCAAAATTTTGATTGTGAGAGTGAACAAGGCTTATCAAAAAAAAAAAAAGTGACAAATATTAAACACAAAGTTAAATATGATTTAATATGTTCATAATGAATCTATTACATATACAGAATTATACTAATTCTGTAGGCACTCACAGATCTTGCAATGTCTGAGTAATGGTGCTACAAACACATGAACGATATACTTCAGACAAGCCAGAGGCAGATCGCTGCTATAGTTAAAAGAAAACAAATGGCAGAAGCAAATTAGATGCTACATGCAAGTGCCCAATCTAAAGTCACTTAATCCAATTACCATAAAATTATAAAATAAATACATGTAAGAAACTACCTCTATGGTAGTAAAAGAATTTCATATATTAATTCAAAAAAGATAAAGGGATATTCTAAAATGTAGAAGTTTAGAATAAGAAGCTGTATAGGAAAAATTTCAGATACAGCTGCTTTTTAAACAATGATCTATAGTCACGGGCAATGCTGTTCAAATATTACAAAATACCTTGTCCTGTTCCAGGTTCTAAACATTGAGAAGGATTAAAGTGAAAATTTTAAGGACTACCAGAAATGAGTATACTCAATACATAGAAAAAAAATGGATCTAAGAGTTAAAAAAATAATAAATACAATTATGAAACAGCGGGCTTAACTTACAACATGTATACTAAGGAAAAACAAAAAATAAAGCTGAAAGAGGTAGAGATTATGTTAAATTACTAACAAGATTTTCCTAAATAATTGTAAAACAGTACAAGGAAATGCCCAAGAATACAGTACTATTGCTCTGAGTCTTGAAAACAGCTTATGGCATTATGAATTCTCAAGTCCCACCTTTCCCCAGAATATCAGCCTCTGCCTCCCACAGGCCGTTAACCTATTAAGCTGCTTTGTAAGCACCATGTCCTTTCCAGACCTAGAATAAGCCAACCATAAATATGACACATTTTTAATGTACTCCTCCCAACTGTGCCGTAATCTCTCTTTACTGGCCTCTTCTTCCCAACCCAAAACTACAGTGTGGTAAAATTCACAGTTCCAGTAGTTAAGAACATTTCACATTTTGACAATACAACATAAGTGGGAAGAGTATTCAGAAAATGAGACTGCTGATTAGACTGGTTTTAAATGAATACAGGGTTGACATAAGAACATTCCACAGGAATAATGCTCACTTCTTTCTGGAGTACACAAAATGTACTTCCAATAAGATTTTTACCCAGGATTTTAGAGAAACTAGATTATTTCTGTACAGATATATTATAGTTTGCCCATGTCTATCAAAATCTAAAAGCAGAAAATTCAGTTATTATTTCTGCATGTTTTCAGTTGAAGCAATAAACCTCCCTTAGAAACTTGTACTGTTTTAACAATTCTTATACTGGAAAATTGCCTATATTGGAAACTCTTTCCAACTAACAATCCCATCTGCTTCAGATTACATATACTTCTTTTCTCAGTAGAAGAGTTAACTGTTAGGCCTATGGAACCAGAAAATACAGGAAAAAAATAATCAATTCCAGGGCCTCCCTGGTGGCGCAGCGGTTGAGTGCTGGGTTGCGAGGCTGCCCACGGCCTCTGCAGCACCGGTTCAATCCCCGGCTGCTCCCCGGCCACCGGAGGAGGGTGCCACATGGCGCGCAGACCTTTCCTGCCGCCCACTGCTCCCCTCAGTGGTGTACTTCGTCAGTCTGCCTGCTCTGCTCCCAGCTCTGGCTCTGGTGAATTCCCTCACCCTCCCGCGCTTCTGACTGTACCTAGTGCTTGTATGGATAAATAAATAAATCTTTAAAAAAAAAATCAATTCCAATAACCCATTGTTTGTTGCCACAATAAGATATCCTTATTTAGCTCGAGGTCGCCTTCTCCTTTCATTGACGAACTTCTTCATACCTGATCTGCAGTGAAAAGGGGCTCATCATTCACACAGGAGACGATGATTGAATGCATATCCAGCTGTTCTCTCAGCTCTTCATCATCTGATGTGTCAAAGAGCAAAGTGTCACTTATCTAAAAGTAAAAACACCCACTGTTAAAAGCAGGCCATTCTGGGGACCTCCCTGGTGGCCTAGGGTTTAAGTCTTAGTGCTATCCCTGCTATGGCCTGAGTTCAATCCCCACATGGCACAGGAGACCTCTCCTGTCTCATCCACTGCTCCCCTTGTTATGTATTTCAGTAAATCTGCTTGTTCTGCTCCCCACTCTGTCTAGAGAATCCTCTCATCCCCCGTACCTCTGGCCTATACCCCTATTTTTCTATGCCCTCCCATTTAAAAACAAACAAAAAAAAAAGGCAGTCCATTCTGATCAAGGCAAAGTCAGTATTTGGGTAAAAGATGCAAGGAAGTATCTGTCAAGAATTTTCCCTCAAAAGAGAGAAATGATTACAATTACTCTCTACCAGGCTGTGTGAAAAGTGCTTTATATATTCATCTTCAACAGAAATGAGAGAAATGCAGAATATGAAATTGCTAAGGGACTGCATATATCTCCTACTTCCCCATAGAGATGCACATTTAGCCATTTGGGGTGCTATAAAAGCTGAATGATAGAAAAAAAATATGGTATTTATTAGCAAGTTTTAGGCAATTATAGCAAACAGAGGGAAGAAGTGGGCAGGATTAGCAGCAAAGATTCCAGTAGTAAGGTTGGTGTATGTTAAAATTCAACAGCAAACCAAGTTAGTTACTTGCAAACTTAATGTCTAACATTCAGAGTAAAAGACAAGTAATTCCCTAGCAGATAGGAACGGTCCATGAGGGGCACACTGAGCCCTTACACTTGAACATCTCTACTTCCAAGAAAAGAATTTTCCAAAAACATCTTTAAACTTATTGCGCTCAAGACTGTTTGCCTCACCACCATTTTCCACCCTGCTCTGTGCCCAGGAGCTGACCTTTATGGACGCCCTTGACTTCTGGCGTCCAGCTGGCTTAAAACACTACAGGGTAGACACTAGCAGGATACTGGAAAGGAGCATGAGGGAAGGGAGGGAGCAATTTACTCTGTGGGCTCCTCCTATCAGAAATGCCAAAGGTCATAACCACTGTGAAGCAGACCTCTCCCAGATGGGGACTCTCCAGGTTCTCGTACCCTCTTCCTCTCTTTAGCTCTTCGTGCCCAAGGATTCTAGCTCTGCTGGCTGTGGCCTTCCCCAGGGGCATGGCAGCCTGCCTAGCTGGTGTACCTTCACCCTGCCCACAACAATACAAACACTTCCTTAATAATGACTTACAGCCAGTACTAATAGTAATTGTAAAACCCTTACCTGAAAAACCTCAGATTAAAATGGACAAATGATTGGTTATCCATCATCTATTTGTTGTGACATGACTATTTAGATGATGAATAGATCTGAAATTAGAACTCCATTCCTCAGGAAGGAATGGCAGGAGAGTACATACACACACGTACACACACACACACACCATCCCCCGCCCCAAGGAACAAATGGGCAACAAGTTACTATGTAGAAAGCAGCCATGTCACTTAACTAGGCATTCTATAATTAAAAAACAAAGCTGTTTCCTAGGAAAATTTTGTTTACCCCATGCACAGGACAAATATAAGGACATAATTAAGGAGATATAATCCCTCTTGCTTACTCCTCATACAGAAGCCTCCAAAGCTGAATAGTGAATGCAACCCACAGTGAGGAGCCTGCAAGTGAGAACTGCCAAAGCACCTCCAAGGGCCACCTTTCCTAACACCACCCACTTGCCTCTCCACCCCAACCATGCAGTTTACACTCCTTTCTCAGAAAGCTACTACAGAATACATGCCATTTAAATCAGAAAGGAATCCAAAAAGGAAGCAGACTGGGGATCTAATACAAGAAAGATGTGAAGGGAAGTCTTATGATAGTGAAATGAAAATCCCGAATGACGTCTGTGATGCTAACCCAGGCAGTATCCAGTTCAGACTGGCCTTGTGACTGCATTAGGCACAAATAAAAAGCATAAAAGAGAGAGAAGACAGAGACTGTGATTGATCATTTAGAGTATTTCACTTACTAAAATGACTTTAAGGCTCTTTTGAGGCCAAATTAGTGAGCTACACATTACGTAAATACACCACCAAAAAGTACTTATTGTCCTAAGAAAAAAACTTTACAAGCGGAAATTAAATCATAATGCACAAAAAAGGGTGCAGTTTTAGCATTTAAATAATCAATGCAAATGAAAATTAACCAAATGCTTGGATATAATTACGCTGTAAAGATGGGGAAATTTTTTGTGAGAGTGTTAGGGGATGGAAAGTTAAAAACCTCATCTTCTAGATAGAAAGTAAATATCTAAAACTGAAAAACAAAATCAAGTGAAATGGTATGGCATGCTGCCTACTAGAAAAACCAAACTGAAAGTGGTGGTTCCTGCTAGGCTGATATCGAGGATGGGTAAATAGCGCAGAGGCAGCTTTTTCATGTAATTTACTTTTTCAACTACAACAGTTATTCTTATACTGTAATTTTAATAAGAAAAACAGGTCAAGGAACTTGACACTTGATGACAGAGCATGTTTAATTTCAAAGTTGTAGGTGTATAAATGAAAAATGCCTCAGTGACCATAGGATGTATGGATGGTGTGGAGTAGACCTGACAATTTACCTTCACTGATCCTTAAATTTCAAGCCTCCTCACCCCCCAAGTCATTCTTCTGTGTTGTAATTTGAGTACCCATGGTTTTAATTTTTCCCCTCTACACATGTAAAAGTTTTAATTTTAAAATTACCCCAAGGGGAAGGGGGGCGGAGCAACATGGCGGCGAGGAGACGCTGCGAGTAAGATCTCCCATTAAAAAAAAGTGAATAGGGAGGAAAAGCGGCAGGTCCCAGTGAGAACTGGGACACGGAAGATAAACGGGTGACTTCAGCGAACTGCCCGAAGAAGAAACTGGCCATAAAAGAGGACTAGAAGGGAGGGAAGCACAGAACCCTGCTCCCCTCCCCCGCCCACAGAGTTGGCACTCTCCAACCGGCAGAGAGGAGGAAACAACAAACCAAAACGGCCCACAAGAACAAACGACGTAGCAAGCGGGACCGTGAGTGGAAAGGAACTATTGCAGCCACCACACCCCGTGAACGGGAGCTGAGGCGAACCCTGCAGGATCCGCCGTGGCGGTGAGCGAACGGCTCCGGGCGCCATTAGAGAAGAACAAAGACCCCGGGAGACGCGCACACAGCCCGGGCTGCCGGTAAGCTGGCGCGGAAACGCGGCGCGCTCGGGGAGCTTGAAAAGCAAGTGCAGACCTGGATCTCGGCTGCCCAGGTCCCCGCGCCTGCGACCTAGGCTTGCAGGGAGACGCGCGGAGGTCCTCACTGAGGTGAAGGTCCCTCCCTGAGTAAGCAGGAACCAGGCGCCCAGGCACGGGAGCGGGGTGCAAAAGGCGCCATTCCCGCGCCACTGAACTGGGCTACAGCCCGCATCCTGGAACTGAGGGCTTTGAACTGAGACCCGGGGCACGAAAATTCGGGGTGTGGTTTCTCCACGACGGTGGGGCACAAGGCAGACACAGCACCCCAAAGCTGTTGAGGTGTACCCTACCATTCCCGCTCTGTTCTCTGTCCCACGGGGTGGGGGGAGGCGAAAAACAGCCCCCCAAGGACAATAGGAGAGATCTCTGGCGCCACCTAGCGACCAGGAAAAAAAAAGTCACTAACACCCTATAAAACAGGACATTTCTTAAGACTGCTTGAAAAGGGCAGAAGGTTTCTGGAGGACCCAGTGGCCAGCCGGGAAGTTATTCCACGCCAGGCCCCTTCCGACCAGCAGTCTGAGCCCACAGAGGGAGCAGGCACCCACGTCCGGGGCAGACCGGGTGCGCAGAAGAGTGTGCCTGAAACCGGAGGCGCAGGGACTGCATCCCGCTTCGCCATTTGAGAACAGGGACATTTCTTCAGTAAAAACTGCCTAAAACCAGCAGAAAGCTCCCCCAGAAGACAGAGATGGCTCCTGGAAGAGCCAGAGGGAGCGGAGAAGTTCACCCAAGATGTCAGTCAGTCCGAGCAACACAGTGTCCCAACGCATACGACAAATTAGAAAACAGACAGTAGGGAGTAGAAGAACCACACGCAACCTAAAAACTCCTCAGGAAAGAAGCACACCACAAAAAGAAAACCACTCCCCAGATTGCAACGACAGCAACTTGGAAGAACTTCTGAGCCTTCCAGAAAGAGAATTTAAAATTGCCATGATTAAAAAAGTGATAGATCAGAAGAAGGAAATTGAGTCCCTAAAGAGGGAAGTAAGAGAAATGCAGGAGATCAAAGAATTAATGGAGGAACTAAAGAACTCTGGGAAAAGCAATGAAAGCAGAATAGATGAAATGGAAGAACGAATAAGTAATCTTGAAGACACAGAAATAAAAAGAACCAAAACAGAAAAGGAAAGAGAAGTACGAAGGAAAAAGAATGAAGAAAGACTTCGGGAACTATCTGACTCCATGAGGAAAGGAAATATAAGAGTTATAGGAATTCCAGAAGGAGAGGAGAGAGATGTAGGAACAGAGAAAATATTCATGGATATAATTGAAGAGAACTTCCCAAATGAGAAGAAGGAGCTGAAAATTGATATACAAGAAGCAAGAAGAACACCAAACTTCCACGACGAAAGGAAAAACACAGCAAGACACATAATAGTAAAGCTCCCAAGAATCCAGGACAAGGAAAAAATAATGAAGCTGACAAGAGGGAAGAAACAGATAACATTCAAAGGAAAACCAATCAGGCTGACATCAGACTTCTCTGAAGAAACATTACGGGCAAGGAGAGAGTGGAGGGACATAGTCAACAGACTCCAAGAAAACAGATGCCAACCAAGAATACTCTATCCCGCAAAGCTCTCTTTCCTCCATGAAGAAAGAATATGGACCTTCCCAGACAAAGAGAAACTCCGGAATTTCATTGCGACTAAACCCCCACTCCGAAAAATACTACAAGGAATCCTAAAGCCAGAACCTCAGAGGGACGAATAACAACGAAAGAAGACCAAAAAAAAAAAAGTTATTAAAAG